TTTATTGCTGTTCTGAATGCGCTCTATTTTGGAATTTTGCGATAAAAGTTACTTCAGGATTTTTTTCCACTGGAGATAAACGCGTGCCTGGTAATCTAGGACTATTCGATATGGCGGAAGCGCTGAAGGTAAATTTTGGGCAGATTTTCCAATGTCTATTTTTTCTTGCAGTTCATATATACAAATGCTGAAAACATTGGTGGAGACTGGTCGCGCATTACCGTATGGGGCCATAGTGCAGGTTCAGCGGCTACCGGACAACTTGCGCTCAGTCTATTAACTCGAGGTATTTTTCGATTATAGGACTGAGGGCGGAAGGTGATAGAGAGGGCGGGGGAGGAATGGGGAGGGGTGGGAAGGGAGTGGAGTGAGAGGAGGGGAAAATGCATGGACAAGAGTAATATGTAATTTTTGCGCATGTCAGGGAGTAGAGGACAGTGGCATACCCGGGATTTCCGTTCAGGGAAGGGGGACAAAGATGTTTTTCTGGTTTTCTGGTGCCTTGGCATCAGCCACGTGCACAATTTCTTTAGTAAGCTTCCCAAAACTTGCGCGGACCTATATCCCAAATCTCGGAAGAAGAGGGCGCACAAAAATATTTTTTACAAGGCTATCTCAATTTTTACAAATATAAACTAATCACTTGCATGCTTTTATATATGGTAACTCTAAAAATTATTGGCGGCCCGTTCTCCCCTCCCTTTCCCTCGACACGCCTCTGGTGGAAGGCGATCGGTCGCCTATAACTTCACCCGCCCAGACGACTGGCACAAGCTGAAAATGTAAAGATGCGTTATTTGTGACACATCTCCGCGCAAAAACCTTCCTGAAGGTCACTCCTCCCATATCGCTGTCAAGTAATGAAAATATTTCAGATTACATTGCTCAAACCATCGAAATGTCTGGCTCTCCTTGGGGATCATGGGCTATAGGAGCTGGAGTGGCACACAATTCTCTAGAACTGGCAGAGGTGTCAATCCTAGATGATTCGTTTTATTAGCCAGTAAATTATGGAAATTGCAGGCTCTAGGATGTGAAGCAGACATCAAAGCTTGTTTGAAGAAAAAAACTGTTGATGAAATATATGAAGCTGTTGACAAAGTCGTGAGTACTTGCAACTACTTGACTGGCTTAAGATTTTACAAAACTTTTGAAATGTCGTGTCACTTCAATTCTGACGACTTTGACGCGAAACAGTATCTAAGCAATAATAAAATTTGCATCTACTGAAGAATACTGAAAGTTCTAGGACTTTTAGCCTTAGTATGAGTTTTGGTTCTACACCTTCTTTTTCTACGCTAGAAAGTTGTTCTAATCTAATTTAATTCTAATTTACAAGAAGTCAATTTGATTTTTCACAAATTTGCAACTTGGTCTCAAATATTTTTCATGTAAGATAGAATAGAAACTTCACAAAGAAAAGGAAAGCACTTGATTAAAACTGCAATCCCTCAGAATATTTTTAAGAGAATTGTTAGGAGTTGATGCAAGATCCAAGGGACCAGACCACTACATAATAAAAAAGTACTCAAAGCGTACAATCCTCTAAATCCAAAAATATGATGAATTTTATTTTATGGTACAACAACGGAAGGGCTCAGATTTGTAAAAT